ACTGGGTCCACACTCCTGTACAGAAACAACTGCCTTGGGCCTGAGCAGTAGCTGTCTGCTCGCAGGCCAACACAAATCGTCACTCAGAAGTCATTTTCATGACCCCGCGGGCATTGTGTTTGCAGCATCTTCCACATATTTGAAGTGGGAATGCCAAAATGTCCCCCGATCTTGCTTTTCAGCTGTCTGAAGACAACTATTTATTTCTCTGTGCATCAGTGCAATATCCATAAGAACTCAAAAACCTGGATCAGACAATCATAGCATTGTTTATCCATGGCAAGTGGCTTCACCCATTACTTTTCTTACAGCTAATCATGGATTATATAGCCAAATAGTCTGTCTGTACTGCCTACTTACATAGCACTCTCTTCTGACAAGAACCCACCCATGGCAGTTGCCAAGACCTTGTCAGAGAAAGGCCTGCACCAATACGCACTTTCCCTTGCTGTCGTCTCATCTCCCCTCCTGCTTTACCCCAAGCTCCTCAGATGCCATTTAGAGCTGCAGGAATGCTCTGGCTGTTTGCCCTGGCGCTGAACTCCTCTGGGTGGGGCAGCAGGCCGGCTGGGTGCAGGACTCTGGACTCTGGAATGCACTTCCTCACAGAGGTGCCAAGGCCTAACCTTGGCGGATTCTAAACACAATGGCTTTTCAGCTACCAGGGCATTTATTATTACAAATGGAGAGGTGAAACAAAGACTTTTTAAATTTGCAGAGAACTGAGCTGCAGGCTAAGGGGAGTAGTCATCGAGTTTGACTGAATTTCTTTAACTTCAGAAGAAATAAAAGAATGTCTTCTAGAGTAGCAAGCCAAGCACTAGAAATTATGACATAAACTAACAAAGAGCAAAAGTTTCCTTCCTATCACAACTTGTTTTTTATTATATGTAAATGTTAAACGAGGTGAGAATGTATGCCAATTTAACTCCTAAAACTAGTTCTAAAATTCTATGTTAGAGAGAATGCCAGCAGAATTCAACCTATGAAAATGAATAGCTGGGCTTACTGGAATTAAAAACAAAACCTATCTTCTATTTAAACCATAATTCCATTTTTGCCAAATACAGTACAATCTAATTAAACTTTTTCTATGTTTTGAAACCAACTTTCTACCATTGTAATTGCTTAAAATTTTAAATAAAAATTTAAATAATTGTGACTAATTTAACAAGGTAATACTTTTGTTTCCCTTTGATCAGTAAAAAATAATTTTTTTTTTAAAATGAGAGAAGGTGGAGTGTAGCATAAGGAAGATAGTCAACGGTATTG